AAGAACCCTAGCCAAGATGGTTTCATTGGAGAATTCTAATGAACGTTCAGAAAAGAACTGACACCAATCCTACTCAAACTATTCCAGAACATAGAAAAGGATGGAATCATCCCGAATTCATTTTATGAATCAAGCATAATCTTGATACCAAAACCAGGCAGAGACATCACTCAAAAGGAAAACTACAGAACAATATCCTTCATAAAAATAGATGTTAAAACTCTTCAACAAAATCCTAGCCAACAGACTCCAACAACATATCAAAAAAGTAATAAATTATGACCAAGTGGGGAATAATAAGAAGTAAGCAAGGATGGTTCACCATTTAGAAAAACAATCAATGTCATCCACTACATAAATAAAATAAAGGAAAAGAACCACATGATCATAACAATCGATGAAGAAAAGTTATTTGATAAAAACCCAACACCCATTCCTGATAAAAACCTCTCAGAAAAATAGGAATAGAAGGAACATTCCTCAGCATAATAAAGGGCATCTATGCAAAACCAACAGCCAACATTATTCTCAATGGAGAGAGACTGAAACCATTCCCTTGTGAACAGGAATCAGACAAGAATGCCCTCTATCACCACTTCCATTCAACACTGTATTGGAAGTCCTACCCAGCAAAATAAGGAAGGAACGGGAAATCAAAGGCATCCAGATTGGTAAGAAATAAGTAATACTATCCCTATTTGCTGATTATATGATCTTATACATAGAAAACCCAAGAGACTTAGCAAAAAAGCTACTGGAACTAATTGAGAGATTTAGCATAGTGGTGGGATAGAAGATCAACATCCCAAATCAGCTGGATTCCTCTACACCAGCAAAGACATTGCTGAAAAGGAGATGAGGAAATCAATACAATTTACAATAGCTACAAAAAATAAAATAATTGGGAATGAATCTCACTAGGGACACAAAAGCCCTGTACAAAGAAAATTACAAAACACTACTTCAAGAAACCATAAGAGATATACACAAATGTTAGAACATACCATGCTCGTGGATAGGAAGATTGAACATTGTGAAAATGTCAATTCTACCCAAAGCAATCTATACATTCAATGCCATCCCAATCAAGATCCCATCAACATTTTTTAAGGATATGGAAAAAACAATCACTAATTTTATATGGAAAGGGAAGAGACCTTGGATAAGTAAACCACTATTGAAGAAGAACAAAGTAGAAAGTCTCAGACTCATAGATCTCAAAATCTCCTATACAGCCACAGTAGTCTAAACAGCCTGGTATTGGTACAAGGACAGACACAGACCAGTGGAAAAGAATTGTGAATCCAGAAATAGATCCATTGACTCATAGTCTGCTGATTTTTGACAAAGGGTTGAAATCCATTCAATGGGAAGAGATGGTCTCTCTCTAACAAATAATACTGGCAAAACTTTATATCCATTTGCCGAAAAAATGAAACAACATCTGTACCTCACACCATACACAAAAACGAACTCCACATGCATCAAAAACTTCAATGAGTAACAACCTCAGGATGCCACAAATAAACTTACTGATAATGTTTAAGTCAGTAGTTTATCAAACCCTTTGTAGCTTTTGTCTGTTTCCTCCCCTACCCTTACAAGTGTGCTAGCACAAATTCTTTGTTTACTACACCCTTTTAAACTCTTACTGTTCCTGCAATTCAGAACATCATTACATCTTGCGTGGATGTCTACAGCAGTCTCTCCATTTCAAAATGACTATTTCTTCAATAAAATTTTTTGTTTTAATTTCTAGCAGAGCATCAATCTAGTGTTTTCCACTAAGGCAACCCTCTTCTTGTATTTGCTCTATAGAAGTCAGCTTGGGTGCAACAGCTTTGGCAAAGTTTCGACAGTCTCACCTGATCATGGTTTGTGACCTTTCCTAGCCTAACTTAGAACTCTGTGCACATTTTTGTGTAGCAGATACTTCAATCAGAACTTCAAACCATTCTGGCCAGTTCAGTCACAGCCAATGATGCAAAACCAATACGGACCTGAATTTCTAAAATGTGAGTGAAGTGGGTGAGTTGGAATGATAACCAGAATGGGAAATATTACAGGTCAGTGTACTACTAGAAACTTAATCTCCCTCTTAGAAAGCAAGGACAGTGTGCACATTGTAGATCAGTCAAAACTTTTGAATGGCAGAGTCAGAAACACTGGTGCCCCACTAAAAAATGGCAGTCAACTGTGTCGCTTTGAATGTGTGTCATTCACACTGCACACTCCAGACAGTAATCTAATTTCCTGCATCATGCTCCTGAAAGGGCTCACTATGCCTCTTCTGAGTCTCTGATTCCAGGGCTTCAACATGTAATTTTTCATTCCACTTCACTGGCTATCATTCCACTTCACTCAAAGTTTTTAAATTTACATAGATTCCAATTTCACTCTGTCAGCCATGACTCAACTTGTTAGAACTAGTTTAAAGCCCTGATATTTATAATTTCTGTGTGGCCTCTCCTGTAGACTCAGAGACTACAAGTTCCTTAAGGGGAACAACTGAGTTTTACCTGTCTGTGTATCTATAGGATCTGGCAGAGAACTGGTGCTCAATAAATTTATATTAAATGAATGAATGCCAACAAAATCATATTCCCTGCTTATAATTTTTTAATACAATATGTTACAATCAACAAAATACTTTTCTGTAGTACAAAATATCAAATTACAGATACCATTAAGAAAACCATGAATCTCTAAATTTGGACATTTTAACATCTATCCAGCTCACTTCTCAACATCTTGTTAAAAATGCCATACAATGAAAACAAAATCAATACCTGCTGCTTCATTATTTAAAAAGCTCAAAAGTCAATTTTAAATTGAAAAGAATTTAGTACTTTTTCTATTTTTTATTATAATATTTATCCATATTGTTAAATTTTTAGTTTAGGGGAGACAAATATTAAAAAACAAAAGTGAAACTTTAAATATGTCTATATTAATTTATTTCCACCCTTGGTCTGTCAGTTTATTATACTATGGAGGTTTCTGTGTTGTTGTTATGCTGGACACTATGCCACTAGTATTTCAAATACCAGCAGGGTCACCCAGGGAAGATAGGTTTTAGCAAAGCTTCCACACTAAGACAGACTAAGTGGAAAGACATGGTTTTCTACTTCTGAAAAAATCGGTCACAGAAAATCTTATGACTATCAGCAGAACACTGTCTGATACAATGCCAGAAAATGAGCCCCTCCAGTTGGAAGGCAGTCAAAACATGAATGGGGAAGAGCTGCCTCCTCAAAGTAGAGTCGATCTTAATGACATGGATGGAGAAAAGCTTTCAGGACCTTCATTTGCAGAAAAAAGAAACAAAACGTATAAAGATTGATATCCTAGGCATTAGTAAGCTGAAATAGACCAGTATTGGCCATTTTGAACAGGACATTCATATGATCAACTGTGATTGCTGAAAACAAAGAAGATTTGAAGTATTTACAAAGAGTACAACCTTCAGCACACATTATACCTCAGCATGTGTGTGTGTGTGTTATATGCCATCGAGTCAGACCCGACTCATAGAGACCCCTCCTTGGGTTTCCGAGGCAGTATCACTACGGAAGGAGATTGCCCAACCTTCCTTCCGAGGAGTGGCTGGTGTCATTCACTCTCTACAGTCCGTACAGTAATCTAATTTCCTGCATCATGCTCCTGAAAGGGCTCACTATGCCTCTTTTAAGTCTCCGATTAGCAGTTAAGTGCCTTAGGCACTATGCTACCAGAGCTCCTTACCTCAGCATAAGGAAAACAAAAATCCTCACACCTGGCCCAATAAGCAACATCATGGAGAAAAGAATGACATCCTCAAGGATTTCATTTTACTTGGATCCACAATGAACACCCATGGAAGTAGCAGTCAAGAAATCAAATGACATATTGCACTGGGCAAATCTGCTCCAAAAGACTTATTTAAAGTGTTCAAGAGCAAAGATGTTACTCTGAAGACTAAGGTGAGCCTAACCCAAGCCACAGTATTTTCAGTAGCCTTATATGCGTGTGAAAGCTGAACAGTAAATAAAGAAGACTGAAGAAGACTTTATGCCTTTAATTTGTGGTGTTCGCAAAGAATTCTGAAAATACCAGGGACTGAAAGAAAAACAAACAAATCTGTCCTGGAAGAAGTGCAGCCGAAATGCTCCTTAAAGTGAGAATGACCAGACTTAGTCTCACTCCTTTGGTCGTATTCTTAGAAATGACCAGAACTTGGAGAAGGATATCATGCTTGGAAAAGCAGAGGATCAGCAAAAAAGAAGACCCTAAATGAGATGGAGTGACACAGTGGCTGCAACAATGGGCTCAACACAGCCATGACTGTGGAGATGGCGCAGGACCAGGCAGCATTCTGTTGTGTTGTACACAGGATTCTACAAGTTGGAACTGACTTCATTGCACCTAACAACAACAACATAAAATTTATTCAAAACACCACTTTAACATTCTGAAATCAAATTTAATATTAAAATATTTTTATACAATTTCCTTAATTTAGCAAACAAAAGTATCTTTTCCTAGCAAACCCCAAATTACAAATTTATTTAAAAAATAATTGATTCTTATGCTTGAGTTTTTGTTATATGTAACTATAATAAAGGAGAAATGCTCCCAAATGATCAAACTATAAAAAAAATTTTCCTAAAAGAAATTTTTAGCTTGGAAAGTTTTGGGACATATACGAAGGGTAATACTAAGACAATATTTTCACTTCGTGTAAAATTAAGAGTATAGACTATACTGTGGTTTGGCATTCTATTTTATTCAAGAAACAGATGTTTTATATTCTAGGAAAGCATTAAAATAAAAATCACAATTTTATAACTACGTCTTCTTCATAAACTAATTAGTGTTTCTTACACTAACGTAAAAATAAAATGTGCACAGTAAATTAGTAGAAGCAAGCAATACAGCAGTTAGAAATATTTTAAGCATCGTTCTCTAGTATAACACACCATATTTCACCCTAAAGAAAGAATGCTGGCAAAGATCTTTACCATATGGAAACTACTTTTAAAGCTGTTGGGCCATAAAATTTTATTCAGCAGTTTGAAACCAATCCACAGCTTTCCTCATTCACCCTCCCATTTAGGGCTAATGCACAGGCATGAACATCTCTTGAGGAAAACCACAAAAAAAAACCTTCAAATCAGCTAAAACGGTAGGCTCTTTATTCACAAACTGCTTTAAATATTGTTTGTTAAAGAGTTAGTCATATAACATTTTTAATAAAGTCTATGTCTTTAATGTTTTACGTTTCAGTTACCTTGAATATTTTTTAAAAATACTTTTGTATAAAAACTTTAATACTTTAAGATAATTTTAAGATCCAAGTAGACAAGGACAGGATGCTACTAGCCATAAAACCATATTATTCTTACTATTCAAGCACTGGATTTTTGACAAACTGGCATATATAGAATGCCACATCAGCAACTCAGTGATTGTGTTTGAAGTTACTTAAGAAAAAATCCGAAATGTGCACCCAACAAATAAAAGCCACTGGTAACTCTAAAATAATCCTTTCCATTACATTCCCCAAAGTTACTAGATTAAAACTCTATTTCCTGTAGTTTGCAGTAATGTTTCTCTGTGTTCCATAATTTAAAATTTAAAAACAATACAGTGATATCTATTAAGATTATAAAACTGAAAAAATTAGACTTAAGGTTTTTCCTTTATTCCGTACAAACTAGAAGTAAGTGACAATACTAGTACAAACTAGAAGTAAGTGACTAGAAGTAAATGACAACTTTTCATGATGTTAAATTTAAAGTTTACATTTTAAAACTTTTCTTGGAACTTGTTTCTGTTTATAGCAATGCAAATCAAGAACTCTTATAAAGTAACAAAGTTGAAATATGATATCTAACTCACATGAGACAGGACCTTGAGCTTTCATTTTAACTATTTATACTATAGGTATCCTAAAAATATTCCAATTGCAAATTAGCATCTCTGTTGGCAGCAGCAAATTATAAAAAAAAAAAAAAAAATTGAAATTATCAACACGGCTTGAAATTTCTGATACAGAAAAAATAAAACTAACTTTGGAAACTATTTTTCAGAATACTCACTGATATATAAAAATGTTAGCATCTAATTAAAGATCACTAAGGGTTAAATACTTGGTCTCTGGTCCCTAATGCTAAAACCCTGCCAAAAAGTCCTGTAAGCTTTAAATATTTTTTCGATGGTCTGCATTTTTATTTCCAGGGAAAACGAGAATATTGTCCCACGGTCAGCAGGTCACTAGTTATTAACTTCCAGTTACCTTGATTATTGCTAAAATGAAGATTCTGCATTCTATATTTCTTCTGTCACTGTTTGCGTCCCTGATAAAGCCAGCACCACCAACTCAGCAGGATTTACGTGTTATCTATGATTATGGAACAGATAATTTTGAAGAAACCATTTTTAGCCAAGATTATGAGGATAAATACCTGGATGGAAAAAATATTAAGGTACTTTATTTCTACTCTAAACTCAACTTCTAAAATAGTAGCCCATTTAAATGTATGTTTTTGCTTTTCTTAAAAGTATGTGATAAGGGGAAAAGAAAACACTTTAATGATTCAGAAGTAATTGTCTCTACAATTATATTTTTAGAATATGCATGGCTTCCAAATTAATAAAAAGCTTCTATGGTAATCAAACAATAGCTATAGTAACAACAACAACAAAAAAAAAAATACAAGGAAAACTAGACTTTAAGATGATTCCTAACCGATTAAGATTTATGTGTTAAATAAGGTTACCTAATTCTCTATATTCCAAATTACATTGCCTCAAAAGTAAATCAGGAGAAATATGCATTAAGAGAAAAAGAGAAGGATTATCAGTTTAAAGCTTATTATTTTACCAAAAAGAGGTTCATGGAAATAAATAGAAGAGTACTGGTTATTTAGGTAGCTGTAGCATTTTAAGATATTTTATATGTACCAACTACACATATTAACAAAAATGAAAAAGTATTTAACATGAGGTTTTCTTTTTAAAATCAGTTTCAACAGTTTAGATCCTTTATCTGTACCAAGTTATTGTCATCAAGTTAATACTCTGCAGGGACTTTTATACCACTTCAATCATAGTACTCTTTACATGCTATGTAATTATGCTTTATTGGCACACAGAAATGACGGCTGAGTAATGAGAAAGGTAATACAGCACCGTTGCATACTCTCTCTCACACCCTCCCTTTCTCTCTCTCTCTCTGTCTCACACACACACACACACACACACACACGCACACACACATGCACACACAGAGAAATAACAGAAAATGAGAAATGCCGCCAAATATGTAACAATGTTGATTGCTTCAAAAAATCTTCCCCACTATAAATAAGATGTAAGATTGACCTGTTATAATTGCCTTTCTCTTTTTTAAGTACACTGTGAACAAATATTAGCACCACAGTTTCTTTCAATGGAGTTAGATAAAAAGCTGGTATTATTTTTGCTCATCATTCAGACAAAAAAAAAAAAGAGTAAACTATTTATAGCTTCAAATAAAAAAGAAAAAATCAAAACATAAACTACTTCCACAATTCCCTGGTTACTTATAAGTAATAAGGTTAGACATGATTAGCTTTATGCTTCTCTTCACAAAGTATTAGAAGTTTCTCTATGCTAACATACATGTTGGGACTAATGTATTTTTAAAGTACAGTAGAATTCAATAGAACTTGATATACAAATGTAGAATGGAGCAAGAAAAGTTCAGTCAAAACATGTGGGACAGAACGTAGAGTCAAGACTGAGACTAAAGGTGTAAGAAATGCTTACAAAGGATAGAAAGAGTAGGACCCTATGTAATAGAATTTAATGGTAGAAAATGTACTCACCTAGAATAGGAAAAGGAAAAAGTAAATGATAAAAGACTGCAACCCCCCAGAGTTAACACCCTAGAGTGGTGCTGTGAAGCAGGGTGAATATAGGCTTAGACAAAAGAGCTTCAAGGAAGCAGAAAAACCAGAACAGAAATGAGAATGTTCACGAATTGTGAAGAATGTAACCCATGACACTGAACAATTTGGGTAGAAATTGTTGAATGAGAATCTAAACTGCTGTGTAAGACTTCACTGAATACACCATAAAATATTACTTAAAAAGCACAACAAAAAAAAAAAGAGCTCCAAGGGTCAACATACTGGAGGCATCTAATTCAAAGGGTCATCACCAGAAGATACCACAAGAACTTACACAATACTTTAGAGATATGACCCTATTGGTATTTTAGTCCTGTTGAAAATGAAAGAATCTGATATAAGAACTCAGTTTCAGACAAGAACCATAAAGAATAACTTAAAAAGCTACTCTACAGAAGAAGATTTCGATATAATATCTTCATTTCAGGTGTTCCCCTCAGAAAAAAAATTTCATTTCAATTCAGAGAATTCCCTCCTAGCTTTACTTTTAAATTTCATTATGTTCAACACTTAATAAGCACTGAGTTCAGCTACTAAAGATAAAAATTTAAATTAAAATTAAAAGACCTGGTTCTTTTACTCAAGGAACACACAGTATAGAATGAACGCAAGCTAAACAAAATTTTACATTTTAATATAATGATTGCTGAAATGGAGTTCTGTATAAAATCCTATGTGAACATAAAAGAAATGCTCAAATGGCTCTGAGAAGATCACCTTTCAAGTCAAAACTAGGTCTTATCTCACATGGTAATAAACTTTTATCTTTTCTAATAGGAAAAACAATCTATAATAACACCTGATAAGAAAAGTCTTCAATTACAAAAAGATGACATTGTAACAACTTTACTCCCCAAGAAAGAAAATGAAGGTAAGTATCAATACCCTACCATCTAATATTTTTCCCCAAAAGGGCATTTAAAAAGTAGATTATCATAACTATTTATTCCTTATAATAATCAAAGGAGTCCAAGGATGGTGCAAATAGTAAAGCGCTAGACTAATAGCTGGAAGCTTGATGGTTTCAACCCACCCAGAGTCACCTAAGACAGGGCTGGCTATATGCTTCAGCAAAGTCATAGCCTTGAACTCTGTGGAACAGTTCTACATTGCACATATGCAATCATCATGAGTTGGAATCAACTCAACAACAGCTAACAACAAAAGTAACCACAAATTGCCCTAGGATACTAAACCCAAAAAGTGGAATTTTATCTGCAATGGTAAAATCAAACAGATATACTGGGAGTGCACATAATTTACCATACCACACTATAAGTGAGAAATGTGAATTAGAAGCATAAGAACAACCAAAGCTGAGCCCAAGCTTAGCCTCCACAGAGTGTATGTGTGTGTCTTCATAAAATCAATTGAAGAAATAATTATTAAACACTTATTATTTGCCAAATGGACCCCTGGTGGCACACTGGTTAAAGCACAAAACTGCTAACCAAAAGGTTGGTAGTCTGAACTCATCAGCCATTCTGTAAGAGAAAGATGTGGTAGTCTACTTCCATAAAAATTTACAGCTTTAGAAACCCAACGGAGCAGATCTAAATCTGTCCTATAGGATCACTAAGGGAGCTCTGGTAGCATAGTGCCTAAGGCACTTGACTGCTAACCAGAAGGCTGGTGGTTAAACCCACCAGCCACCCCTTGGAAGGGAAGTTGGGCAATCTACTTCGGTAGTGTTATCGCCTCGGAAACCCAAGGAGGGGTCGCTATGAGTCAGGTCCAACTTGAAGACACATAACAACAACAATAACATAGAGTCACTATGAGTTGGAATCTATTTGAAGAGGCAATGTTTTTGTTTTGTTTTTGCCAAATACTAAGGACCAGGTAAATGAAAAAAAAAAAAAAAAGCCTAAGTATCAGGTAAATAAAATGTAATTCTTGTCTTCAAGGAACAGAAGAGAGAGAGGGCTATCTATATAAATAATTGTAATGCACACCTAGATTTTAAAAATGTACAAAATAAATGATAAGTCCTATGTAATAAAAAGACTTTTTAAAAAATCCTACTCTGGTGCCATAGCGCGCCTTAGACACTTGACTGCTAACCAGTAAGCTGATGGTCCAAACCCACTAGCCACTCTTCAGAAGGAAGGTTGGGCAATCTACTTACGTAGTGATACTGCCTCGGAAACCCAAGGAGGGGTCACTATGAGTCGGATCTGACTTGAAGGCGGTGAGTTTGGTTTTGGTTTTTTAATAAAAAAATAATAGGATTTGTTAATAACATCTATTTATGTTATTTTTGTTTTATCATAGAGTATTATTTCACGACATGAAAAAAGAATTACAGCCTAATTTCCACATTGTGAAACAAAACAGAAAATACATCTTAAAATATTTGAGAAGTATAACAGCAAAAATAGACTTGAACAAAAGAAGACATCCTGTGTCCTTGGATAGGATGACTCAATATCCTAAAGAACACAGTTTCTGTAAATTAATTTATAACTTTTATATAGTCTCAATAAAAATACCACTAAACTTCTTTATAGAGCTAAAAAAGTTGATTAACTAAAATTCATATTGAAAATTAAAGATAAAAGATTGCATCTTTAATTTTCTTTTCAGTAAGAAAACACTGAAAAATGACAGTTATAAGTAGAGACTACCATTACCACACATCAAAATATATTACAAAGCCTCTAAACTTAAAAAAGTATGACAAGGAACAAGAAAAGACACCAAGAGTAGTGGAACTGAATATAAAGTCCAAATACAGACATTAATGAATAGCGGCTAAGATACTTGCCTGCTAACCAGACGGCTGGCGGTTCAAACCCTCAGCCACTCCTCGGAAGGAAGGTTGGGCAATCCTACTTCCGTAGTGATACTGCCTCGGAAACCCAAGGAGGGGTCGCTATGAGTCGGGGCCGACTCGACGGCACATACAACAACAACAACATACGATAAAAGCAGCATCTCAAATTGCTAATGCAAAAATGGTGTTTTTAAAGACTTATGCTGGGTCAAATGGGTAAGCGTATGAAAAGTGATGTGTTTAAATCTATAGCTTAAACTGTGCAGAAAATAAATCACAAATAGATTGGGGATATAAATCTAAAAACTGAAACCATTCAAGTACCAGAGATAACCTGGGTGCCTCACAATTCAGAGACAAATTTTACTCCACAATTTTTTTGCATGACAAAAAACATGATAAATGAAGTGCAAAACAACTAAAAACTGGGGAAAATATTTGCAATATATACCACAGAGAGAGAGGTAACACTACACACACAGACACACACACAAACATGGGCTCTCTATTAACTCTTACAATTTGAAGATCGCCAGAGACAATATAAAATTGACCCTTAAAATATGAAAAGCTATTCCAATGGCACACATAATTAGAGAAATGCAAATTAAAATCATTCTGTGATAACTATTTTCAACCCAATTGACAAAAATTAAAAGTATAACAGTATATTTATTCAACCATTTTTCAAGGTTTGGATGGATGCTTAGATTGTTTTCTAGTAGTTTGCATTTGCAAACAATGCTTCAGTGATTTTGTACATGTATTTTATTGTTGGAAGTATAAATTCCAGGTAAATTCCTCGAAATGGGATTGCTAGGTCAAAAAGTAAATATACAACTTGGTTTTGTTAGCTATTGCCAAAATCAACCCCAAAATTACTGTAGCAGTTTGCAGTCTCACCGGCAATGATTGACAGTGTCTTTTCTCATCCTTCTTGTTGTCACGTGTTGTCGAGTGGGAACCGACTCATAGCAACCCCTCCTTGGGTTTCCGAAACAGTATCACTACGGAAGTAGATTGCCCAACCTTCCTTCCGAGGAGTGGTTGGTGTGTTTGAACTGCCAGCCTTCTAGTTAGCAGTCAGATGCCTTAGGGCCTACCCACCAGAGTTCTCTTATCCTTAGACATTGTCAAACATTACTGGTGAGAATGCAAACTGCTTATGTTTAGAGGAGTTCTGGTAGCCTAGCGCCTACAACATTTGACTGCTAACCAGCCACTCCTAGGAAGGAAGGTTGCGCAATCTACTTCAGCAGATAAACCGCCTCAGAAACCTAAGGAGAGGTTGGTATGAGTCGAAATCAACTCAAAGGCAGTAAATTTGGTTTCTGTTTGATTTTCTAATTTTCAGAGACTAGACAATTGAATATAAAGTGGTTTGATTGGTTAGTCTTTGGTTGAGGTCACAAGGAGGATGGGTTAGGGGTAGGCTATAGGGTTCTACTGGATAAGTGGATATGGAAAATCACAGTGATTTATTTTAGGAACTAATTACAGAGATTTTAAAACTCACTCAAATAGCTTTCAGGTGGAATCACTGATGTTTACGCAGCTTTAACCAAATATCACAGGAGTGGGTGATAACTTTTGGTGTTAAGCCTTCTGGTTAGCAATCAAATGCCTAGGAACTATGCCACCAGAGGTCGCTTTTTTTTTTTTTTTTTTTTGCTATATATATATTCTTGGGAGCTCTGGTGGCATAGCGTGTAAGACATTTCACTGCAAACCAGAAGGCTGGTGGTTCAAACCCACCAGCCACTCCTCGGAAGGAAGACTAGGCAATCTAATTCCATAGATACCGCCTCAGAAACCCAAGGAGGGGTCACTATGTGTCGAATCGACTCAACGGCAGTAAGTTTGTTTTTTTGATTCTGTTTTTGGTTTTTATATCTATTCTTAATAATAACAACAGAAATAAAATAAATTATGTTTTAAAATATCCATATATATCCTTACTTTCTCAAAACCATTAAACTCCTAAGTAACTAACAATAACAACAAAAATAAAAACAAAAGAAATGAACTATTGATCCATGCAAAAATGTATGAATCTGAAAATAATTATGCTAAATAGTTTAATTAATAGTTAAAGAAGTCAGAAGAAAGAGTACATACAGCATGATTCCACTGATTTAAAATTGTCAAAAATGAAAACTAATGTTGTTGTTGTTGTTCAGTGCCGTCGAGTCGTTTCCGACTCATATCGACCCCATGCACAGCAGAACGAAACACTGCCCGATCCCACAACAGCCCCACAATCCCTGCTATACTTGAGCTCATCATTGCAGCCACCGTATCAATCCATCTCGTTGAAGGCCTCCCCGTCTTTCGTCGACCCTCCACCCTACCAAGCA